TAGAGAAGAATGTGTATTCTGTTGCTTTGGGATGAAATGTTCTGAATATATCTGTGATGTCCATCTGGTCCAGTGTGTCATTTAAGGTCTTTATTTCCTTGTTGATCTTTTGCTTGGATGATCTGTCCATTTCAGTGAGAGGAGTGTTAAAGTCCCCTATGAATATTGTATTATTGTTGATGTGTTTCTTTGATTTTGTTATTAATTGGTTTATATAGTTGGCTGCTCCCACATTAGGGGCATAGATATTTTCAATTGTTAGATCTTCTTGTTGGACAGATCCTTTGAGTATGATATAGTGTCCTTCCTCATCTCTTATTATAGTCTTTGGCTTAAAATCTAATTGATCTGATATAAGGATTGCCACTCCTGCTTTCTTCTGTTGTCCATTAACATGGTAAACTCTTTTCCACCCTCTCACTTTAAATCTGGAGGTGTCTTTGGGTTTAAAATTAGTTTCTTGTAGGCAACATATAGATGGGTTTTGGTTTTTTATCCATTCTGATACCCTGTGTCTTTTGATTGGGGCATTTAGCCCATTAACATTCAAGGTAACTATTGAGAGATATGAATTTAGTGCCATTGTATTTCCTGTAAGGTGACTGTTATTGTATATTGTTTCTGTTCCTTTCTGATCTACTACTTTTAGGGTCTCTCTTTGCTTAGAGGACCCCTTTCAATATTTCCTGTAGAGCTGGCTTGGTGTTTGCAAATTCTTTCAGTTTTTGTTTGTCCTGGAAGCTTTTAATCTCTCCTTCTATTTTCAATGATAGCCTAGCTGGATATAGTATTCTTGGCTGCATGTTTTTCTCGTTTAGTACTCTGAATATATCATGCCAGCTCTTTCTGGACTGCCAGGTCTCTGTGGATAAGTCTGCTGCCAATCTAATATTTTTACCATTGTATGTTACAGACTTCTTTTCCCGGGCTGCTTTCAGGATTTTCTCTTTGTCACTAAGACTTGTAAATTTTACTATTAGGTGATGGTGTGTGGACCTATTCTTATTGATTTTGAGGGGGGTTCTCTGAACCTCCTGGATTTTGATGCTTGTTCCCTTTGCCATATTGGGGAAATTCTCTCCAATAATTCTCTCCAATATACCTTCTGCTCCCCTCTCTCTTTCTTCTTCTTCTGGAATCCCAATTATTCTAATGTTGTTTCATCTTATGGTGTCACTTATCTCTCGAATTCTGCCCTCGTGGTCCAGTAGCTGTTTGTCCCTCTTTTGCTCAGCTTCTTTTTTCTCTGTCATTTGGTCTTCTATATTGCTAATTCTTTCTTCTGCCTCATTTATCCTAGCAGTGAGAGCCTCCATTTTTGATTGCACCTCATTAATAGCTTTTTTTATTTCAACTTGATTAGATTTTAGTTCTTTTATTTCTCCAGAAAGGGCTTTTATATCTCCCGAGAGGGTTTCTCTAATATCTTCCATGCCTTTTTCAAGCCCAGCTAGAACCTTGAGAATCATCATTCTGAACTCTAGATCTGACATATTACCAATGTCTGTATTGATTAGGTCCCTAGCCTTTGGTACTGCCTCTTGTTCTTTTTTTTGTGGTGAATTTTTCCGCCTTGTCATTTTGTCCAGAAAAGAGTATATGAAGGAGTAAGTAAAATACTAAAAGAGTGGCAACAACCCCAGGAAAATATGCTTTCAGAAAGTGGTTGATTTTCTGTTTCTAGAATTGCTGTTCTTCTTCTCTTCGATCTCCCGTTGGATTTGTAGGTGTTTGCAATCTTTAGATAAGCTATCTAGCTGATCTCCCGCAACCTGAAGTAGTCTCAGTTGCTACTTCTCCGCCATCTTGACTCCTCCCTCAGTACCTACAATTTTTGATGCACTGTGCTAAAAGTTTTACATAGATTGTTGAATTTTTTTTTCACAAATAACCCTATGAGCTTGTATTATTGTTACATTTTACAGATTAAGGAATTATGACTCAGAGAATGATTTGTTTAATGTCTCATATTTGATAATTCATATAAGCTAGACATAAGGATTCATAGTTTTCATGACTACAGAAAATAAAATGTACTCATCACTCTAAGACAGAGAGCTTATAAGATTTAATATGGAGTTTTTAACACTGTAATTAAAAGTTCAGATAAAATAGAATGTTCAAAATTAGAAAAGTGATTATTTATGAAAATAATAGTGTGGATTATAAAAATAACTCAATTGAAAATGGGATTTATGAAATGAATTGAATTTATAATGTATGGTTGCATTAATGAAAATAATGTTTAACATGATTAATAATGACTCTATTATGTCAAAGAAGTTATTGGGATCATAAAGACATCACTATTTCCTTAATTTTAAAGTTGAGCTGAACTTTCACAAATGAAAGTGTATGCTATTAAAAAAAAAAAACATGAAAATGCCTTCTTAAGATAGATGACCTTTTAGAAATCATCAGGGCATATAAAGTAAATCAAAAAATCATTTTCACATGTTTCTTACTGAAATCCCTTTCTAGTATTTACGGCTAAATAAGGCCTTAAATATTTTTTCTAAAACATAATGATATATATTTTAATACATTACAGAACACTTACAAATTAGTATTGTCCCACTGGTCCAAGACCTTGGAGAAATTTAGGGCTGAGATTTAGAAGCTATTTTCCATTCACCAAGTCAAATGGATTACTTGTTTTATCCCTTTGTGATATGAGTATGCATTAAAAACCAGATCCTATTCATCCAATTTATTTTTAAATACCCATTGTGAGTCTTGGTTTTGTTTTCACAAAGTGGATGGAAATAGCAAGGAAAGAGCTAAACATGTGATACTTCCGTAACTTGGTCACTGCATTCACTTGCCATCTCAGAAAGTATTCTCATGTATCCATGGAGGCCAGCTCAGGCCCTCCAGGAGGCAGAAAAGCACTGTTGGTTTTCTTGTCCTGGCACCTTGGACTGACATAGGACATAGGTTTATCTTTTTCCACTTATTTCTTTAGATCTGAATGCACTGTCATGCATAATTCTTTATATATCTCTGAGCTCCATTTGTTTTTGTCTTCCTCTCAGGCTTATGATGAACTTCTTGTCTTGCTATTTGTTTTGTTTTGTTTTGTTTTTTTAATAAGATTTCAGACTGAACAACATATACCGCTCTATAATCTGACCTGCCTCCATTACCTGCTTGATCATTTTCCCTTTTCCGTGTTCTTACCCAATTACATAGTTAACCCCCTCTTTCCCTGCACACACACACAGAGTTGACTGGGAAATGTGAATTAGAAATTCCACTATCCACACCACCAGAAAACAATTTGGAATTTGGATGTAAAGTACATATCATATTAACCTATAAAATCAATACATAGATGAAATCTGAGATACAGAGTCAACTTAAAAGAAACATAGACCCCATTCATTTGGTTAGTAATATGATATAGAAAAAAAGAGTACTATTATATCTAGTATTCAATGCTTATCTTTTCGTCCACAGAAATAATAATTAGATATAATGACATTCTTGACCTACAATTTTGTCTTGATGTCATGAAAAATTTATAACATAGGTAACATATTGTTTTTTGTTATAGCCTGGAACAAGGGTAGTCACAACCATAATGCACCTAGCTGCTTCTACAGGTAGATCATCCTCTGGGGATGGATTTTCTACACTAGTTAATAATGAGGTCCGAGCGAAGCTTCTGTGTGTGTGAAGGAGGAGTTTGTTCTGTAGCTCCTTCAAATACTGGTTAAGATGACTTTTCCTTAAAAGGAAACTTGAAGAAGATAAAGCAGTAGCATTGTTTGCTTAATTGTTTCTAAAATTAATAATCCCAATTCTGTAGAAAGTTGAATGTAAGCATTGGTGGAGTTATTGGGGATTGAGGAATTAGCCACATGCCCTGGATTTTCTACTTTGGTAGGAGCAACACCTCACTGCCTAGGCCTATAAAGTGCTGACGCATGCGCATTGTTTTCTTTCCCAACTCCGTTCCTTCTCACTTCTGTTGCTCTTTCCTATTACAGTTTTCCCTCTGTTCCGTGCCTTTCCTAAGTTCTGCTAATTCCTCCTGTTGAATTAATCACATCTCACTTTCCTTCAGGCCCTTCCTATTTTTATTAATGTTTCAGTCTCTTGAATCTGCTCCTACCTTCAGCATTGTTGTTTTGAAGGCTGGTTTCTCCATCCAGTCTATTGATTCTCCCAGAGGGAGCAAGATGAGCTTCATCTACCGGAGGAATGAGGGACAAGGCTAGGCATGGTGGAAAGCTAGGTCTCTTGCTTGCAGTGTTTGGGTTTAGCTTATGGTAACTACAACTTTAAAACAAACCTCATTCTCCGAGGATGAAGTCTCCCTTCCAACACTTTCCTTACTAATCGAAGTGACAAATCCCCCCTATTAACATAATGATGATCCCATAGTGAGAAAAAGTAACTGTCACTTCATTTCATAAAATGAACTCCCCCCCACCTTTCCTTATCTGAATTACATTACAAATCCTCCTCCATGGTAACATGGTGCTGTTCCCAAATAGCTTTATTGTAATAACTAAATTTCTCTTAAGCCAGAGTATAATACAGAGAAGAAGGTAGGAGTTGAAGTGTAACTATCAAACAGAGCTGTGACATGAGGCCTCTCTACCTGGTTTGGGCTTCCCACAGCACAGCAAATAGGTCCTGAAAGGAAGTCCAAGAGGCAAAGTGCAGACAACAAATGTTTCATGAAAATCAGACAGGAGCTTTATGGCCTTTGTTGACCTAGACTCAAAAGGTAAACAGTGCCTAAGGCCAGCCCAAATGCATGTGTTGAGAACCAGGCTCCACATCTTGATGGGGCTCTAGCAAGGTCACTTTGCAGAAAACCATGTATGATAGGAGATACAGTCCAGTTATTTTTGGAAAACTCAATCTGGGACATAAATCATATCTCCTGGGATCTGTTCAAATTCCTGAGCCACAGAATCCATGAGCATAATAAAAGAGTTATTATTTTACAGCACTAAGTCTTGGGGTAATTTGCCATGTAGCAATAGATGACCAGAACGGTAGCGTTTGAGACCATCACTATTGTAACATTTCCTGCGGCTGCAGGCAGCACACCACACCTGACCCATATAGCCCAGCTGAAGTACTCACAGCTTGCAGTTAATGAAATGAGATTCATTATGTTCTAACCTTGGAAAATAAAATGCAGACTTTATCCGAATGCCAGAGACCACTATCATGGGAGGAAAACAGATGTTTCCAGGGAACTATGAGCTTCCTTTATTTGGAGTCTCAAATATGCATCCATTGAGCTCTTTGGTACGCCCTTCCCTCTACTACTACTTGCCTGAAGACCCTTTCAAGAGAGATACAAGTAAGACTTCTGGCCATGGCAATCTTAATCTTTCCCCTCTATTATCCTCTCGCTTTTTCATTGGAAAATAAAGGAAGACAATTGGTTAAGTTATCATGATATGTATAGAAAGCATTATGACATTACTTCCTACTTGTTTTTATTCCCTCGTATTTTATGAGTATGCAAAAGCACATGTTAACTGTAGCTTCTTTACAGTCTAGCCCAGCATCCATTCCTACCTAAAGTTTAGTTTTACTCTAAAACTCACTAAGAAGCTAACTAGCTATAAATTGACATCACATGTAGCCATTCTATAAAAAAAGAAGATACACCAGACCAGCAGAGGCAGCAGCCGGAGCAGCCGCAGCCTGCGCCCTCTCCCGCCCGCCCGCCCTCCGCCGCCCTCCACCCGCCCCGGGGTCTCTTTCCCCCTTCCTCCTCCTCCTCCTCCACCTTCCTCCTCCGCCCGCCCGCGGGGCCCCCCTCGCCTTCCCGCCCGCCCCTATTGTTCCGCCCCCGGCCTCCCGCCCTTCCCCTTCCCGCCCGCTCCCCTTTTCCCCTCAGTCGCCTCGCGCCTGCAGTTTTTGGCTTTCACCCCCACCAGTGACCAAAGACTTGACCACTCAAAGTCCAGCTCCCCAGAACACTGCTCGACATGGACACCGGTGTGATTGAAGGTGGATTAAATGTCACTCTCACCATCCGGCTACTTATGCATGGAAAGGAAGTTGGCAGTATCATCGGAAAGAAAGGAGAATCAGTTAAGAAGATGCGTGAGGAGAGTGGTGCACGTATCAACATCTCAGAAGGGAATTGTCCTGAGAGAATTATCACTTTGGCTGGACCCACTAACGCGATCTTCAAAGCCTTTGCAATGATCATTGACAAACTGGAAGAGGACATCAGCAGCTCTATGACCAATAGCACAGCTGCCAGTAGACCCCCAGTTACCCTGAGGCTGGTGGTCCCTGCTAGTCAGTGTGGCTCTCTCATTGGGAAAGGTGGTTGCAAGATCAAGGAAATACGAGAGAGTACAGGGGCTCAGGTCCAGGTGGCAGGGGATATGCTCCCCAACTCAACTGAGCGGGCCATCTCCGCAATCCATCATTGAGTGTGTGAAACAGATCTGCGTGGTCATGTTGGAGACTCTCTCCCAGTCCCCCCCGAAGGGCGTGACCATCCCGTACTGGCCCAAGCCGTCCAGTTCTCCAGTCATCTTTGCAGGTGGTCAGGACAGGTACAGCACAGGCAGCGACAAGTGCGAGCTTTCCCCACACCACCCCGTCCATGTGCCTCAACCCTGACCTGGAGGGACCACCTCTAGAGGCCTATACCATTCAAGGACAGTATGCCATTCCACAGCCAGATTTGACCAAGCTGCACCAGTTGGCAATGCAACAGTCTCATTTTCCCATGACGCATGGCAACACCGGATTCAGTGCAGGTTTGGATGCATCTGCTCAGACTACTTCTCATGAACTCACCATTCCAAATGATTTGATTGGCTGCATAATCGGGCGTCAAGGTGCCAAAATCAATGAGATCCGTCAGATGTCTGGGGCGCAGATCAAAATTGCGAACCCAGTGGAAGGATCTACTGATAGGCAGGTTACCATCACTGGATCTGCTGCCAGCATTAGCCTGGCTCAATACCTAATCAATGTCAGGCTTTCCTCGGAGACGGGTGGCATGGGGAGCAGCTAGAACAATGCAGATTCATCCATAATCCCTTTCTGCTGTTCACCACCACCCATGATCCATCTGTGTAGTTTCTGAACAGTCAGCGATTCCAGGTTTTAAATAGTTTGTAAATTTTCAGTTTCTACACAGTTTATCATCCACTCGTGATTTTTTAATTAAAGCGTTTTAATTCCTTTCTCTGTTCAGCTGTTAATGCTGAGATCCATATTTAGTTTTATAAGCTTCTCCCTCCCCTTTTTTTTTGGCTCATGAATTTTTTTTTCTGTTTGTCATGGAAATGTAAGAGTGGAATATTAATACATTTCAGTTTAGTTCTGTAATGTCAGGAATTTTTCAAAAAAATTAAAAGATGGACTGGAGCTTTTTCTTTGTGAATAGAAACTGGATGCCACAGTGATTCATGTGGGTTTTATTCCTGTTGTCTTGCTGTTCTTTTTGCACCTTTTATGCCTCAGAGGACAAGGACCCTACTTGGGTTTTGAATATAAGCCTTTATTCCAAAAAAAAAAAAAAAAGAAGATACATGCACATGTATATGGGGGGGAACAATTTTATATATATATATATATATATATATATACACACACACACACATATATACATATACATATATATATACACACATTATCTATACTTATTTATGTGTGTGTGTGTG